ACATTCGTCTAATTCATCAAAACCACAACTTGAAAAATTGAGAATTCTTGTTCTAATTCTAAATTGTTAATTCATTTCCTGCCGTCGGTAGAAATTATCATTATATCTAATATTTAGGGATGCCATTATAATCTTCTTTTAGCCGTATACTTTTACGACCTTTTACGAAATGTAAATCGATTCGACGCCTCAGCTTCACAGAATGTCTCGGGGGAATCGTCCCAATCTTTTTCAATTCTTTTGTCATAGGTTCGAGTCTCAKCGCGGTCGAGCTCTTATTTTATCATATCATATCCTTTCTTTCATCTTTCTTTTTTTTCTTTTTGTCTGGTACTCAAGAAGTTTCGATTAGTCCAGGATGCCACTATATGGATCAGGAACCCTGTCTGCAGTATAACCATGCATGAAAAGACMCATTCTTTTCATGATCCATGAATATAGCAATTAGACAGAAAAAAAACCGTTATTGGTCCAAACAGTGCAGTGAAAAACTGTCTTCGGTTGCTTCCTAAAAAGTCTAAAACGCGTCGGGGGTGCGAGCGGTATCTTAGGCCCAGTCTTCTAATGCAAATATAATATGTGAGAGACTGGATCTAGTCTTCCAAAAAAACAAGATGGACGACAAGAGGGAGGAAATGTATGTTGTAATTTCTGGGCTTCTTTAAAGTCCTAACGGTCTTCTCACCGTTCTTAGAGTCACTATTTAACGTGGAATAGTTATTGAAATGTAATTGATATGGTAAAAATTCTGGAATTTAGTTGATATTCACAGACTTGTTTGGAATGCAAAGAAGACGTAGTTCGAAGTTCTGAAGAGGGTCACATATAATTTACGAAAACATTGTTTCCACGACTACATAATCGATTACTTTGATAATTTGGATAATGAATATTGCTGCTCAGATGATGCTGGCTCCGGCTTGGCGTTGTTCCGGTCGAAACAACGATGAGATGGTTGATAGATTTGTTGACGCTGGGCTGATCTCGTCCAAAGATGTCGAAGACGCATTTCGAGCGATTCCAAGGGGTGCCTTTGTACCGGGTGATCAGTTTGACGAAGCTTATTTTGATTCTCCTTTACGTGGAGATCCACATGTTCATATGTCTGCGCCCCATATGTACGCCACTGTGCTAGAAGCCCTCGACTTATGTCCAGGTGAGAGTTTAAATTGAACTAGTACTAGTGTACAAGCTTGTACAATATAATTTCTCTTAACTACAAATAGACATTTTCTTATATACGTTATATTGGAAAATCATGAGAAATTATCAATGTTCACATTTTGATATCAAAGAAAAGACATTGACTTTGCAAAGTGATGAGTCAGAGCAAAACAAAAAAAAACCCTATGTAAAATATTATAACCATTTATTAACTTATGATAAGTATGGATATATTTCAGTGTTTGGTAAATCTCTGTACTGTTTTAGTTTCAAATATTGTTTCATATTGAGCATCACTTTGGTCCTATTAGAAAAAAGAACAAATACAGAAGCAAGAAAGTGCAAGAGAGATCTTGTGATTCTTCCTGTAATGCTATACTGTACAATCAAAATTMTATGACAGCACACCATATCAAGACAACAACAGTTATAATAAGAATAGTTGTTGCAATATTAGATATTAAATTGCAACATACAGGATGTTTCTTATTCAAGTTGAAAAGTCAATTTTTAATTTATTCTTGCTTTGGTGATAAAAGACATCTGGTACTGACGGCATGAATCAGCAGTGATGAACATACAATTCTATAAATAAATCTTTATGAAAAATTATGTTATAAATGAATATTCTAGTGGTTAACTTTAATTCCCTTTGTGTCACTAGACTCTTGCTGGATTTTAAAATTTTATAAAAAAATGTGAGAATTCTCCAAATTATAAATTCATTTTGTTATGATTTTTTATGGTTTCACTGTAGGACTATCATTCTTGAACATTGGTAGTGGTACAGGGTATTTTAGCTGYYTGGTTGGTTATCTGATCAAACGTAATAGTGTAAACCAYGGGATTGAGCACCATGAAGACCTTGTAGATTACTGCCAAGAGCACTGTGATGACTTCATGAGATACAGTCCATCGGTGGCCAATGAGATGAGTCAGCCTGTTTTTCTATCAGGAAACTGCTTCAGATTGGATCACAGAGACAGACAATATGACCGTATTTACTGCGGTGCATCCTGCCCACCTAATAAAGTACCCTTTGTTCTTTCAATGACCAAGGTTGGAGGATTTGCTATCATACCATGCAAAAATAAGGTAATTTACATGTCTGTCACTCACTCATTCATTTTCGTGCTCACTTTCCTGTAAACTTGTAACATGCTTAACTTTAGCTCTTAATTGTGATACTTTTGTTTTCAAAACAGGCCACATTCATAGACCAATAAGTTTGCTCTCTTTTATGACTAAATACTAAATTATGCATTTTATCTTGCTTGAACATAGCTGCTGAGAATTGACAGAGTATCACCAACTGGTGTAAAGCAATCTGTGATCAGAGAAGTAAGTTTTTCTCCACTTGCTGCACTTCCAAGCTCTGAAGAAAATCAACCAAAATTGAAGTTTCCCCCTGTGGGAGATAAAAAGAAGCAAAAGGTACCATGTGTTTTCTATTTATTTTTTTTATCTGCTTAAGTTTTCTCCAAAGAGTAGATTCAAGTTCACTGATATTTCCTGTTTTGGTCTTTTTTCTCCTGTTATTTGTTGTTGACAGCTGATAAACTTGCTTGTTATTCCCATGTACTCCTTCATAGGAAAAAGTTGTTTTGACAAAATTCATTTTTKTTGGATTTGCTGTAGTGATGTTTGGAAATCCTACATGTTTTTTATTATTGTATAAAACAGTTGTATACAAAATATAGGTTTTGTTTGCACAACTGTGAAGCAGACWTTGTGCTTTAAGCATAGCCAATAAGCAGGTATCATGACACAGTTGTAAGGAGACATTATCATTGTCACAATCACTGTCCCTATTTTTTAGACTCTCAAAGTATACCCACCCAATGACTTGCTTGTCAGCAATGGAATGCCAAGGAAGATACTTGCCAAGCTAAGAGCACTACAGGAAGCTAGTGGTAAGAACAGCAGCGTCAACAATTACATGTTATTTAACAAATACATTTTMCWTGCATSTGTACTCTATATGATACCAAAATGTGATGGCAATTAAACAGTATGCTACAAGGCAAAGAAAATATTGATGTTTCTGGGGAGTTTGTAATTTCATTGAATCSTTGAATGAGCACAACAGAGCRCGCTCACTGGTACTGACCAATTAGAGTMCACATAAGATTAAATGGCATCATCCATGTGYGTGTACTTTACATGTAATGAGAGACAGTTCTCAACCAATGAAAGAGAGCGTAATATGCCAGATATTAAATAACATAGAATAATGCAAAATGTGATAATTTTGTTTTGTGGCAAACCAAATTGAAAAATGTTTCTCAGGATTCCTGTGGTAGTGAAAAGAGARAGGAATGGGTTGAAATTATGTTCCACTTGATAAAGCTATATGCTTATCTTGCATCAGTTCAGTTGTGTATATTTATTCTTTAGTTTTTCTTGTGTGTTTTTTTTTTTAGAAATATTAATTGTTTTATCTTTCTTTAGAATGTTTACGATCATCAGAGTCTCTTCCTCTTCCATTTTGCTACGTACCAGATCAACAACAGYTAAAAGAACTTAAAACATCCAAAAAAATTAAAGAACCTCCAACACCTCATGATCAGACACAAACAGCAGCAGCTGTTGACAGTAAAATCACTTTCTTTAGCTCATGCAGTGGACAGGGTCAAAGTACAGAGACCTCAGATAAATGGGACTTTATCAACAATGACAACCTTTGGGAGAAAGTCTTAGAGCACTACTATAGTGTTTGTACTACATCTAATGAAGAGAAAGTTAAAGCAATGCTTTTATACGTCAAAAGAAAGACAAAGAAACATACAAAACTGCAAAATCCATCCTACGCTGAACTTATGTCTAGGCTTGGGTTGCCTGTGGACTCAGTTTCTAGTGGRAATGRYAAGGAATTGAGTAAGAAACCAGATGGAAGCTGCAGAGATCACCAACATGATGGGAATAGCACAGAAAATACACAAACATGTTCAATGGAAAAAGATGAGAATAATAGCAAATCACTGGAACAACAAAGTGATGTTTTTGAAAACAAAAATGACGATTGTGAAAAGGGGACAGTARTTTCTTCTCAAAKATCATGCTCTAGTTTACCTCAGACAAGCTCTTCCTTGAGTGATGGTTTGTCTCGGGAAACGGCCGGTGCTATCAGTAAATTACCGAAACATGCTAAAGAGGACCAAACCACTTCCTCTAAGGAATCTCACACGAGAAGGAAAGCAACCAAGGAACATAAGAGCAGCCGAAGCTCTGAATCTGATAGAAAAAAATCTGAATACAGTGATGTTTTAATAGAGGTTGATAGTCATTCAGTGAAGAGACTCAGCTCGTCTCCAAAGAAGAGTTGGTGTTTGGAAGACGACAAAGAGCTTGTACGCTTTCTATCGGAAATGTCACACCAATCCAGCAAAGGACGATGCAAGGTATTGGTTCTTTTCTAGCTAACTTAGATTATCCAAAAATGTTTTTTTTAGGACTGACATTGTCATCAATCTGCACTTTTTCCTGTTGAGTAGCTGTTCCCTTGCATCAAAGCAAAACAACCAGTGAGATTTGTAAAAAGATACGCATATATCTAACTCCCGGAGGGGGGGGGGGGGGGGGGGGCGGCTCCCTTATGAAAAGGTTGGGGGTCCTCGTCGGAAATTCTGAAAATGACCCCTAAAAAGGACCTGTATTGTGAGATGATGGGCGTGACAGCGCTGAAATTTCACCCTTAGGAGGTACTAATCAATAAASGGTTATTTTGTTTTGGTTTCCCGATTTTAGTTGTTTTTGCACAAGCATCAAACGCCGTTGGCTCGTATTGAGTTTTTGAGGACGTTGTCATATACAAATATATGATGACGGCTTAGGGTCGTCGTATACCCAAAAAGGGACTACAAAACTTTGTTGGTGGGAATTCTCGTCATTATCACCCTGAGCGGGACCAAAACACTGAAAGGGACGACGAGGAACCCCGCCCTTTTATATTAAGGAGTCCCCCCCGGGATCTAACTACTTGGACGTGTCTATCATTTCAAACTCACCTGCCGTTTTACTTTTAATGCTAGCCWTGTCTACTTTTGATTAAGAACTGAGAAGGAACCTGATACCTTATCATTATGATCACTTTATGTAATGAAAGCTGCGAGAAAGGTAATTCTGGGATTTTACTTTCTATTTCTTCCAGGGCTGGTTCAAGCCAGAGCTTGTAAGACCAAGTTTATTCTTAAGAATTGATTCATTGGCATTTCCCAGGCTTTCAAACATTTCAGCTGAGGACTTAGCGTACAGAACAGTTGGTCTTTGCCGTGTTGCAAATGTACTCGATTCATCTTTACACCTTCTGACAGGGTCCTCGCTATTGAGTGACTACACATCTGCGAAAAGCAAATATCCCATGGATTCATTCAACGATTCATCGTTTGAAACTTCAAGGAATTCTAGTAATGTAAGTTTTGAGCATCTTCCAGTGSAAATAAAACGAAAACCTAAAGAGCAATCGTATGATTATGGCATGATGGATGCTGATCAGCTAAGAGTACAGTTAGAACTAACAAGCAAGAAACTTAAGTTGACTCAAGAATTACAAGAACAAATTAAAGAGCAACAAAAAGTCTTGCGCAAACAGGTATGGTCAATGATGTACAAAGACAGCAGTTATTTGTAATGTTAGGTGATCGTCT